CTTCGAACGAGAGGTAAGCGCTGAACTTAGATTTGTATGATTGTTGAAAATGTCATACAAGACAAAAATGCAGACTATCTACACCAGGGTTTCTCAACCAGGGGTGCTCGCACTCCATGAGGGTGTAAGATAGCATCCCAAGGGGTGCGTGAAGTGTCCGTGTCGAAGACAATAACTCATAATTAAGAAACAGGAAGAGAAGAGGGTTTATTCAAATAATCTAGGACATATTCTCTTGTCCATATGTGTGATTTTTACTAACATAGAAAATGAAAAAGTACATTTTTTTGGTGATCAAATTTAGTATAAATGCACCTCCTTTATCCTTAAATAAGCTATAAATCTAAAGGGGGTGCAAGGACACAGTAAAAAATTCTTAGGGGTGCGGGCGTAACAAAGTTGGGAACCACTGATATACACCGCCAGGAATGTAATTCCCTAAAAATTATATTTGAAATTAGTTGCATTTTCGGAGGCGGAATATGTGTAACTCTGTGACGTTACTAACAGGTGGTTTCGGAGTTGGCGGCGCAGATCCTGCGCGTGGCTCAGGGACCCTCGGCCTTCGCGGCGGGACCTCACAAGCGCAACTCGGAGCTGATCAACTCCCTCCTGGGGATCCCCAAGGTCATGAACGACGCCGGAAGGAGATAAACAGTATCGCCCAGTTCTTTCTGCCCATTACGGTAAGTGTGTTCAGCCAAGCTGTTAGTAATGAATTTCCAGAAAGGAAGTTTTGTTCACTGACAACAAGAACTGCACATGAAGTTCATTTTAATTTCGTAGTCGTAAGGCTGTACGAACATAACGGCATTTTGCAAAAACCCAATTCTAGATTTATTCATAATCAAAATGGCATTAAGACGCCCAATACCTTTTGCACCAAGACATGCATTATATTCAGTGATGTCACTTTCAGAACACCATCGATATGTTGAAGCCTGTCCACCCTCCACACTGCGACTTCAGAATGCTACAGCGTTGTTACTCTAATTATACCTAAGAATTTTTATGTATTAGAAATAAAGCATATTCATCTTCACTAAATGGAGTGCAAGAGAGACAGACTGGCAGACAAACAGACAGACAGACGGAAGAAAGATATTTTCCAATAGCCGTACTACCCAGATGCCCCTTGTACACTTCTGACACCGAGTTCTCCCAAGGCTCACGTACGCTCACTCTTGGTCTCTTTATCCTTTAATTTTTCAGAAATATTTCGACCATTCAAAAGTTCATCGCAACTAGATTCTATGAAATAAATACCTTAAAGTGCTTTTGATCGTAATTTCATTACTCCACCTTGAATTTTTTTTTTCCTGCTTGTATTATGGTTCGCCGTTTGCCAGAAGTTATTTTATTTTACTTATCAGAGTTATTTTATTATACAAATTAAATATAATGCCCAAGAAATAAAAGGAAAAATTACAACAGCGAAGAAAAAATATATAATGATATAATATGTCTAAAATACAAACGAAACATTTTCGTACATATTCTTACAGATGTTATTATCAGCATGTAGTTTTTCTGATGAATTCTGCCTCTTCATCATTAAGATTCATCTGTCCATTACATTAGTACATTTTACTTCGTAGATTTTGCATGTCTTGTACTTCTGATTTATTTATGTAACAAGTAAAAGCACAACTGTTCAAAAGCGGAAATTACATTAAGAAATCAAATAAGGTTTAATATTTCGACAAGCCACCGAAAACAGAATTCATTATTTATTCTAATTAATCATTATATATACAAGATATGTATATGATAATAACCAGAAAAACAATTAAGACAAAATATCACTAAAGAGGAGATATTTATTTTCATCATTATATTGATATATCAAATAAACACAAAAGAGATATTATTTTTCAAAAGGTCACAAACATTTACTCTTAATTTCGGATGGCCGTTATTACCCAAGAATACTTTAGCTATCCCTAAAAGTTTCTGAGAGATTTTGAGACATCATCGGCAGGTTTGTCAAAATTGTGCGAGGCCCGACCCAATGAGTCTTCATTATACGGACATGCACATGCACAGAAGTGAATGCATATCTATCAGTCTAAATCTGCCGGATAGATAGATAAATGTATATACATATCAGAGAGAGAAAGAGAGACAGAGAGAGAGAGAGAGAGAGAGAGAGAGAGTGAAAGAGATATACGCATTTATTTCTGTGCATATGCGTGTCTGTATATATAAATACTCACTGGGTCAGGCCTCGCACAAACCGGCCTCATGAGGAGCCCGTAATGAATAGGTAAAAGATGGCGAAAGATATCATTTCCCAAGTTCATAGCTCTTATCATTTTGATTCATTTGGAGCATAATTTAGAATGAAGCCTGAATTATTGCGTGACATCAACCTATGTTGCATGATAAAGTAACCGTTTTTAAGTCGTAGGTGGTCTGTGAATTACTCTTTTTATCTTTTTATTTACCTGCTCATCCATGGGGAAACCTTTTTAGTTATATCTTATATTTATGCCACAAA